CAAATGAATATATGAATTAATTAATTATATGAATGTACCTCTGAAGGTTCTGACTGTCTTCAGAAACGATTCGATGGCATTTTGTTTTCATCTTCGCTCCATGTAATACCTAAAGGAAGTGTTCTTAATCGCAATACTGCTTTGTCCACGGAGGTTACGGGAAGCAGCTCTAATTCAGTTTTTCCATAAGCGCCACCTAGTGTCAGTGAGTGGATTTACAGAGACTTATATTTACATTCAGCCTGTGTGCAGTTTCTGTCTGGCAAAAAATGGTCCGAATTTGCATGCCCGGCTGTAAATTTTGACCGGTTGATGAAAAACAAGCTTATGTGGATTCTACACATTTAAACAATTCAGATAAGTTATCTAGAATTATTTATGGAGCAGATAAAATACATATAATCGTTTATTAATCAATTATCATTTCGATTTATATCTTTATTCTTTATTTAAAGGCTGAAATGTGAGGTTTACCTTTTTATGAAACTTTTTCAAAGCTTTATTTGAACATTTACATTAGATATTTCAACATGCTATTAAACTGTTGTCAGTCAAGTTGTCATTTAAAATCCGAACATCATTGGTAATGTTATTGTTTTAGTGATTATGCAAACAAAAAGTCATTTTATTTGTTGTTTGTTGATTTTTAAATATAAAACTTGGTGAAGTGATTTATGTGTCAGTACTTTTTTAACATAACCAGCACATTTTAACAATAGCGTGATAATACTGATAACCGTGATCATTTTGGTCCCTATAATCGTGATAAGAAATGTTCATACCGTTACACCCTTACATAGCAGTTGCCATTTACTCCCGACATCTGAGCCACTGAAGATGCAGTGGATTACTTTTGTCTGTGAAGGGAATGCGTCCCCCCGATCTACCTAAATGCGTCTATGTTCGCACGAATCATTTGTGATCCAGCTTCACTTACAGCAGAAGTGAGTATAAGTTTTTTTTTATGAATCTTTGCAATCGCCTTTCCTAATAACGTGCTAGTTAGCAAGTTTTTCGCGGCTAAAGTAAACAGTCTCTCAGAGCAAAGAATCATATCAACTTGTGGAAAATGGGCATCCGATGACCCCTTTAATATGGAAATAAGAAACTATTTTTTAATGAAATGATAGTCCCAATAACAAACTAATACGGCCTTTTTCAATAACTAATTAATTAACATGTTAAATTGACAACACTAATAGATATTATATTATATTTTACAAGAACGGTTTTCTATTTTCATGTTTTTTTATATATATTTAATATTAAATGTCATTTATTCCTGTGATGGCAAAACTGAATTTCAGTGCTCATAAAAAATATTTATTTTTCTTCCCAATGCTAAAAACAGTTGTGCTGCTGAAATTTTTTATGGAAACCATGATACACATTTTTACATCTTTCTTTAATGAATAGAAAGAACAGCATTGATTTGAAATATATATTTTTTTTTATAGCATTATGAATGTCTTAACTGTCATTTTTGATCACTTTAATTCTTGCTTGCTGAGTAAAAGAGCTAATTTCTTTCCGAAAAAAAAAGAAATCTTACTGACCCCATGACTGGAGTCCCACCTCTCCTGATGGGATCAACTCCAAAAGGGAAGAGGAGGAATTAAGACAGGAAATTAATATTGGGGGCACGTAAATGAATAGAAGTCAGAAAATTAAAGAGGCAAAGACACACACATACAGACTGGCAAATTGGGCACACATTAAACATTTAGTGAAAATCCACAAAACAAGAATATATAAACACATACGTAAAATATTATACTACAGCCGTTAGATTAACAAGCTAAGCCCCCCTCCCCGCAGCCCCATCAGTGTTGTTACCGCATTGAAGCCGAATCAAGGTAAAGGATCAGTCCATCTCGGACCCCAGGGGAGTGGCTTTGATGTTGAGTAGAGCGTGGAGACCTGAAAGAGAGAAAGACAGAGAGACTGAGATTTCGCCATGCGGCATGACTAACATGGCAAACGCCCACGACCGACTTCACACATGAGTGCACACACAGAACAATCATTTACAGGCATGTACAGAGTTATACATCAGTGTGCATGCATTCATGTGCACTGTCTTACATGTGTGCATAGCTTTAAAATGATTTGGCTTATTTGCTACTGACTGCTTACACAAACACACACTCGCATCAATGTATGCATACTAGATGTGAAGAGTTCATTAACGTGCTTATTATAAACATTTGAAATCATTCATCACCAATGTACCAAAATCATTTCATTTTGACATTTGAACTGCCTGGGATTTGTTTCAGGAGTGAAGTGGTCATTTAGATGTTAAGGGAGCAAAATGTGTCTCGTTCACAGGCTTTGATGCAGCAGATGTTAGATCTGGCGAACTGCGGTTCATATTTCTCTACCCTCTTTCTCTTTCTCCTGATCCTTGTTCCCTTTATCCAAACTGTGGTGAAAAGAAAAAAAAATTATACTTAACTTTGGATGTGTCACTTTTTCTTTGTAATGGGCTGGAGGCAAGAAGAATACAAGAAAAATGATTGAGCAAGCAAATTCTCATCTCTCTCTTTGACATACTCTATGTACTGTTGAAAACCAGTATGAACTATAACTATAACCAACTGATATCCTATTATAATGTGATTCGCCTCGATTCTTCTGTTCTCATGTATGCATGTATCTTTGTTTCTTGCAGGATGACCATTCCATGTTCTTCCAGTTTGGACCCTCTATAGAGCAGCAGGCCTCTGTCATGCTTAACATAATGGAGGAATATGACTGGTACATATTCTCCATCGTCACCACCTACTACCCTGGATACCAGGACTTTGTCAATCGGGTGAGTTGTCGCTATTAATTTTTTCTCAATTCAGTTCCATTTTAATTTCAGTTTAACTGTTAATTTAAGCAGGTGTAGAAGTAATACACTATATATCAGGTCAAGTTTTAGGTCTTCATCCAAACCCCAATGTATGTTTATGATTCAAGTAATCTTGAAGATAAAACACATGAGTTCTGATGTCAGTTCAGTTCAGGTGTTATTTCATACTAAGCTTAGAAGACTGCAGGAACTCATCAAACATAGTTTATATGTTAGCTAAATATATATTTACATGTACAATTTTTTATATATTTACATATACATTCAAAAGTTTGCAGTGCAAAAATCTCTTATGCTCACCAAGGCTGCATTCATTTGTTAAAACATACAGTAAAAACAGTGATATTGTGAAATAATATTAAAAATGTTTTAAAACGTAAAAGTGATTTTATCATTTTTTAAATTTTGATCAATATTGGTAATAATAAAATATGTATTATTATTATTATTATTTAAAACAGTTGAGTTGCTTACTATTTTTGTGGTAACCGTGATACATTCGTTGCCCCCCCGGAATTCTTGAATAGAAAGAACAGCATTTATTTGAAATAATAGAATTTTTTTTGTAACAGTGTCTATAAAAATCTTTGCTGTCACTTTTGATCAATATAATGTGTCCTTGCTGCATAAAAATATACTTTCTTGAAAAATATCTTACCGATTGCGCACTTTTGAACAGTATTTTATATATGTGTATTATTGTAGTTGTTATTACATTTATTTATTATTTTAAAGTTATGTTTGTCACTGAGAGTTTAACAATTGTTCCCTGGATTTTATTTCTGAAGGAATTTGGAGTGGTGCAGAAAAGCATTGCAATGTGCTTGCTAAGATGTTCTGCATGTTTTTAGCATGTTGCTATGTACTTGCTAGGGTTTTTACCAGGGCTTGCTAGGTGATTTCGAGTGTGTTTTGAGTGGTTGAAAGAAACACATCTCAGTTTAAATGGCTCATGATCATAATCCCACCAAACAATCCATTCAGAACCTGCTCTTGTTTATCAAATCACTGAAATGCATCATCAGGGTGTATAAACACTCACCTATCCAGAGCTACACCAATTTGGCCAAATTGAGATGGGGATCTCGTGAAACCCCAGGCTGCTGTTTGCTTCACTGCCCCCAATTCTGGAAACTCTAGCTGGTTCGATTCACACCCTAATTCCGAGGTTCTCACTCCCGCTGGGGTGCCAGCCGCTGCGGTTCGAGTCTCTTTCATCATCAGGAGTTTGCCGATGCTCCTGTCTCAACTAATTCTCTCTTTCTCTCCTCTATCTTCTGTATGCTAGGGCTTCTGTCAAAACTAATACACCCGTCCTCTCCCATACTTTCACTATACGTCGCTCCTATAGGAACTAATGCTGCTTTCCTCTTCAATTTTATGTCTTATTGTTTTTGATTTCAAGGCATAGTTCACTCAAAAATGAAATTGTGTCATCATTTACGGACCCTTATGTCCTTCTTAACCCGTATGGCAACAGAAAAGAGTCTGCACGCAAGATAGAAAGTCAAACGGGTTCGGAATGACATGAGGGTGAGTAAATGATGACTAGTGGAATTTTCCCTGTAACCATCTTTCTGTTCATTCATCACACGCCTCTCACAGTATGCGCCTTTAGCCTTGTATACAAGCCCTATAATAGTAGTGTTGACCCTTTTAATTCATGCAAGCAAAACAGCCTTTTATAGAACAAGGTTATTATTGTTAACTAAAACTAGAACTATTTAAAGGGGTCATATGATGCTGCTAAAAAGAACATTATTTTGTGTATTTGGTGTAATGAAATGTGTTTATGCGGTTTAAGGTTCAAAAAACACATTATTTTCCACATACTGTACATTATTATTTCGCCACACATCTGTTTTCTTGTGCCTCCTATTTGTGGCCCTTCATCTTCTGCTAAATCCTGGGTTGCCGCAGTACCTGTGCTATTTTATTCTCTTACTTTGCGCTTTGTAAATGACCGTAGAAATACCTTGGTATTTAAAAGAGGAATTCACAATGTGTCAGGAAAATATCAGTTTTCAGCCAAATATCAGCCAACTTTAGATTTAAAAAAAAAAAAAATCTTGTGTAAATGCATGCTCACTTCAAACACTCACTAATCTTTATAAAACCTCAAAATAATGTCCTTAAAGGGATAGTTCACCCAAAAATGAAAATTCTGTCATTAATTACTCACCCTCATGTTGTTCCAAACCCGTAAGACCTCCGATATCAGCCAACTTTAGATTTAAAAAAAAAAAAAATCTTGTGTAAATGCATGCTCACTTCAAACACTCACTAATCTTTATAAAACCTCAAAATAATGTCCTTAAAGGGATAGTTCACCCAAAAATGAAAATTTTGTCATTAATTACTTACTCTCATGTCATTCCAAACCCGTAAGACCTTCGTTCATCTTTCATCTTCGGAAAACAATATTTTTGATGGAATCTGAGAGCTCTCTGACCCTCCCATAGACAGCAAGGATATTACCTCGATCAAGGTACAGAAACGTAGCAAGGACATTGGTAAAATAGTCCATGTGACATCAGGGGTTCAACTGTAATTTTACGAAGCTACGAGAAAACTTTTTGTGCACAAAGAAAACAATAATAACATAATTTATTCAGCAATTCTTCTCCCCGAGTTACCGTCTTCCACCATTTTGGAGAGTACCCCAGAACGTAATCAGCTTAATGAGTGCTGTTTATGTTCAGCATGCGCATGCTGTCTACCGAATGTAAACAACGCTCATTACGTTGATTACGTTCTGGGGTACTCTACAAAATGGTGGAAGACGGTAACTCGTAATAATGTTTTTATACTGTGCATTTATAATATGATGCCTACATTCACTTGTAGCATTTAAAATGATTGATTTTAGTGTAGTTTTAGTTTAGTTTATTTTAGACTGAATTGTATAGAATTTAACTATCAACCTTTTTTTGTTATTGATATATCAATAATTAGCAGCTTATCAATGGCCAAAATTAACTATAGTATGAATCAGTGTTGTTAAATTTAACTAAATCTAAAAATTTAACTATTAAAAATCATTTTCAGTAACTGATATAATTCTGAAATAAAATATTAATAAAAATGAAAAACTTGAAAAATGTAATTATTTACTCACCCTCAAGTTATCCAAAACCTGTACGAGTTTCTTTCTTCTGCTGAACAAAAATGTTGCTAACTAAACAGCTGCTGGTCTCCACTGACTTCCATAGTATGAAAAAAAAATACTATGGAAGTCAGTGGCTTTCAACAACTGTTTGGTTACCGACATATCAAATATCTTCTTTTTTGTGTTCAACAAAAGAGAGAAATGGCGGAGAACATGGCGGTGAGTAAATTATCAAAATGTGAACTGTCCCTTTAAGAAATGTAATAAACTTTTAAAAAAATGTAAGCTGTATGGTGTAAAAAAAAACAAAAACCCCCCCAAAACTAATAAAAATGACTAAGCACAGAAAAAATTACTAAAAACAAAATAAAAAATAAAAATAAAACCTAATTCAAAATTAATTTCGAAGTACATTTTACTGTTATTAAAGGGGTCATGACGTTGCTAAAAAGAACATTATTTTGTGTATTTGGTTTAATGCAATGTGTTTATGTGGTTTAAGGTTAAAAAACACATTATTTTCCACATACTGTACATTATTGTTTCTCCTCTATGCCCCGCCTTTCTGAAACGCGCCGATTTTTACAAAGCTCATCGTTCTGAAAAGCGAGTTGTGCTGTGATTGGCCAGCTATCCAGTGCGTTGTGATTGGCCGAATACCTCAAGCATGTGACGGAAATGTTACACCCCTTACCATATTGTGATGCCCTGTGTCCCGGCGCGACGAGACAAAACACATAAAACCCATTACAAACGAGGCATTTGTTGCATACAGTGGGGACATAAATACGGATTATAATGACTTATACTGTCTTTTTACGCGTTGCATCG